CGGGAAAAGCAGAAAGTGACTTTCTAACTGCAATTTAAAAAGACAAAAGATAAACAGTTTAGCTGCCAATCCTATTGACCCACTGTAGAAGCTCAAAAACAAAGAAAATATCCTACTTGTGAAAGCAGCACCACAATGAGCCACTCTGCAGATGGAACGTGGCACAGCCACGTCCAGTGAGGGGTAGGAGGTATGTTATGAGGCTTATCCTGAGCTTCAGCACATTTTCAGCCAGGTAACTCTGTTGCTTTGTCAACTGTTTGGTTGTCAGAAACTGTTTTTAAAACATATGTCTTTGCCAGGTGGATTTCTACACTAAAATGGGTGGCTATTGATTAGCTTATTTGGTAAAGCACACATTTTTGTAAGTGAGACAGAATTTTGGTTCGGTGTTGAGGTTTACCAGTTAGATAAAACTAAAGTTGTCTGGTTTTGTCCACTGAGATTTAAGTCAACTCTTCTGCCTCATGTATGACTCGACACTGACCTGTCAGTCTAACCATGCATGGCTCAGTGTTTTGTGTCTGTAAGAGCCATATAAAAATGCAAGTATAATGTTAAATAGATTAAAATACTGTCTGGATTGTGGCACTAACATTCCCTTAAAAAATCAGAAATAGTGAATCATCCTCATGTTTTTGGCATCACTGCTTATGTTGTCTGCGAGCCTGTGAAGCAACCTGAGGCAATACAACTGCTTAGCTCATCTGTATGCAGTATAAACACATGCTTATGCAAGGTTGGGGGAAAAGGTAGATTTTAGCCTTAGGTGGTGGTCTAATCTTAGGATTTCTCTCTGTGCAGGTGCCTGATTTTATAACATTTCACTTAGGCATCTGCATTGCTTATAGTAATTTGAATTCCCTTTATAATTTTGGTGTAAATGATGGAGTAGCTGTAAGACAAAGTATTGCTGATATATCAAGAAGAAGCAGTCTTCTGTTGCTGTTACATATAATAAGAACATAATTTACATAACTTACAAGTTTTTTTGGCACACTAATGATTTAATGGCAGTAAGTTGCTTCTCTGTTTTTATTTATTTAACTGTTTTGTTTTTGTGTGGTGTACGAGCATTACCAAGTCACTGGGCTCTGAGTAATAATAGAGGCTTTTAGTCTTGTCTCTGTTCTGTGCACAACAAGGCTTTTGCATGTATCCATAATTACTGTATCTCACTTAGATTCTCCTACATTGCCAGAACACTGAGAACACAGACAAGGAGTTTATTATTACTGTACATCAGCAGTTCTTTGTTTGCCGAGGGGGTCTGATACTAAAACCCTGATATTTGCGGAAGAAAAGTTTTTTTCTATCAAGGTCTTGTGGAAAATAATCATTACAAGGTGTAACATCTTGTACATTTGGCTAGTTATCCACAAGAATAAGAAGAAAATACACAGGATTTATCACCAGTAGCAGTAATTAACAGTACTGAAGAGGTTTTTACTAGTCTGTAAAATAATCTTCCTCAAACTGAATGCTATAATCTCTTGCTTTTACAACCACAAAGCCTTCATGCTCTTACAAGCCTGGGCATTTAATAAATCATGACAACATGTCTACTGGTGCTGCATATACTTCCAAGACCAAACAGTTAATTATTTCAAATAAACACAGGGTATTAATATCCCTATGACATTTCCATCTCTCATATTAACTTTAAATTATCAACTTAGGATATACTGTTTTACTCAGGAGAATGAATGCTGGATTAAAGGTGTAAATAGGTCATTGAGGTATTAGGGAATGCACAGGCAGTGCTCATTTTGTGCTTGAACTCATGAGAGGAGCAGGTGAGTTTCTGCTTTGTATTCCACTCACTGCTTCGCATCCAGTTTGATAACAGCATTGCTAGAAAGCCATTACAGTGGTGTAACCATGGTCAGCACAATATCACCTTTTTTATTCAGTGTTGCA